TTCGATAGTTTGGGCATCCATCTTCTTTGGGTCTGGAGGTGCATCAAGGCTGAGGCTTTCATGTAAACCTTCCCTAATGGCCTTATATCTACCTTTCAAAGGATAAACAAATGGTCCATCAGGTACAGTAAGTTGGTTGACACGGACAACCTGAACAGATTCGTTGAAATCTTTTTTCCATGAGATCCTTCAATGACGCAACAAGAAATTCGTTTCTCCAAATGAAACCAGGTTGCATGGCATATCCCAGAAAGATACCTGGATTTGATGTTGGATCAAAACGCAAATCCTTCTTGGGTTTCAACTTTGGTCCAGTCCAATAATATCAATAATCAATACGAGCTCCAAAGGGAATGTTAAAACGAAGTTCCCAGGGGGATTTGATTTCGGGGTGATCCTGGATGTTGTGAGCCATACACCAATGCCGTGAAGCATAGCTCCAGTAGGAGTGATGAAGTCCCGCCTGTTCAAGATTCACTCTAGTCCCTTCAAGTACGGACCTGAGATTCCTCTCGGCGACTGCATTGGACTTGGAAAAATAAGCTACACTCGTGTTCTGTCTCCACCCAACTTCCCGACAGGCGAGTTTAATGGATGGTGCAGCGTCAGAGTAGAATACTCCAACTTCTTCCCCGGGTGCAACAAAATGTCGAAAAGCTAAAACACACTCTTTGGCGTGACTCCTAGCTGAAGGATAAATCCATCTGAAGCTGGTAGCAACATCTTTCATGACCGCGGCAACCCTGTCACCATCGATGGATTGTTCGTTTGAATCCCTAGTCACGAGATGATCCCCAGTGATGTGATCCCCAAACTTGTTGGATTCCACAGTCAAAGATTCACCCTTACTGCGCTTGGTTGGTTTGTACATTTTAGCACATTTACAAGTTTCACAGTATGGGTTCTTTGGGGTGTGAGTCATCATGGGCCTAAGAGTCCTGGCCTCTTCCCTCAATGCAGCTTCACCACGATCAAGAGCTTTGGCTTCAGGCAATTGAAGCCGACCGTCGACTGGTTCTTCAGGAGCTTCGGCTTCATCCTCCGAACCCTCATTGACGTCGGGTGTCATTGCCGCTGGAGGTCCTGGTGCAAGTTCGCCAGGGAAGAGCTCCTCGAGGCTGTCGTCAGCATGTCCAAGAACTTCGTCATCGTCAGCGATGGACGCCTCGTAGGGCTCTTCCACCTCTTCGACCTCGTCCTCGGATTCATCCCCAACTGCCGACACACGAGACCTTCGAACGGGTGAGATGATGGCTTGCCGTTCCCGGCAGCGGAGTCCCATGAAAATGGAATCCCTACTGCTGCGGGCACCTGGCCATCTCTGGATGGTAAATAAGGAACGCAATCTTTTACTTCAAGTTTGATTTTGGTACCATCTTGTTTCTTGAAGTATGGACGGCTAAAGCTTTTCCAAACAAAGTCCCATCCATCTTGAATGCATCTCATCCCTACCGATATTACAGCCGGGGTATCAGGAAGAACATCTGGTTGAACTTCTTTGTCGATGCAATCGATGTGAACAGAAGCTTGTTGGTCAGCTGACTGAGATCCATTAGCTGTGATTAATCCAAGGGGTTCATGAGAATGATACACTACTTACTTCGAGAACCATTTTACTCCAAACTAAGTCCTGAGCACTAACAGTGTCTGCAATCCATGCAATCTCAGCGGATGCATTACGCTGCTGGGACGGCATGTGTCCTGGCAGGGCTTTCTGGTCGGAACGGATGCAATGGCGACAGCCGATATCGCTGTCACATGCGAAGTTGCATTTGCAAGACTTTCCATGAAACTCCCGGAAGACAGCTGACTGCAACATTTGTGCAGCAAGTATGGCATCATTCTCACGTGCTTCGATCGTGTCTTTACGAAAACGATCGTCCTTTGTGATGCAAACTGGATTGCGAGTCCTCTGTTTGGCAAATGATGCACAGGAATACTGGAGTATAGAAATCAAAAATTCATTAAAAATTTATACGCAGTACCTAGATAATAACATTACTGTAAGTGTTGGCGAGTTATGCGAGAGTGTCGTTTATGGCAAGAAGAAATAAAATGCAAGAAGAAATTAAAAAAAAGTGATTATATATTAAAAACCAACATATTTACGCAGTCTTATCACATGGCATGGCAAGGATTCAAATTGCAATCATGCTCAATGGGAACTTCAAAGGTTTCAATGTCGCTCCCAAATGAAACTGTGTGATTGGGTGTAACTGGCATGGCATAATGCTGGTTGTGAAACGGAATGGAGGCAATGCCTTCCGGCACGCGATGAGTACTGGTCGAAGGGTTAATGACTGCGACCATCATCAGAGCGCGCATCAGGCAAACTGCAGCTGAGCCAGAGGAAGACGGTTTTCCCCCTTTGTCCTTAAGACTCTGAGAGCCTTTCGAGGAATTGGAACCTCGGCTTGACGACCTGGAGCGGTCGCCCTTCTTCTTCTTCTTCTTGGACTGGCTCTTCCCATGCTTGTCATCCTTGGTGGATGGAGCTGCAGGCTTCGGCGGGTGTTGAAAAGCACATTCACTGCCACGATGGCACTTCCCCGCCTTCCAAAACTTGCAAACTTGATTCCTAGATCCAGGAGACAAAGAACGACTAGTGCCTCTTGATTTGGACCTAGACTTACCTTTCTTACCTCCACCTTTGCCTTTGTCTGACTTCTCATGCTTGTATCGGCAATCCTTTCCTCTGGTGCACTTGCCTGCTTGGAAATCATAGCAAATGCCCTGAGGTTTGCCCGCAGACGGCGGTCTGTTGGGCGCTGGGGCGGCGTCTCTCTTGCCTGAAACTGACTTCTTCGTAGCCTGTCGCATCTTTTCAAGACGCTTCCTCTCAAGGTAGTCCCGTGCGGCTTTCATGAGAAACTCATAAGAGCGGTTGGGTTCTCCCGCCGGTGTGCGATCATACACAGCCAGATCATGAGAAAGAGGCTTGAAGTTTTTGATGGCGTTGTGAAAGTACGCTTGCTTCCACATGGTGTCAGGCTCGGAAGTCATTCCAGCGATCACGGCGTCCCACCTGGTGATGAAACCCCTTAGATCGTCATTGACTAAGGTAAAATCCTCAATGTCATACACTGCACCATGCTTTCTGCTTGTGCTGAAATGCTTGTGAATCATGAGCAATGCTTGACGTCCTCTGGCTGGAGTCCCCGACTTGGCCTGTTCTTCCTTGAAAATGTCAAGTTGCCGTGCAAAGTCCCCTTCGCAGATGTTGGTGAGCGAAGACATGAGCTTTGCGTCCAGGGTCACAAACTTACCTGAGTCCTTCAAGGCTTCGACGGTTTGGTCCGTCTTGAAAACTTCTTCACCCATTGAAAAGCTAGGTCAGGCTTAGCAGAAGCTGCTATCACGGCATCCCTTACTCTGATCCTCCAGTTCCTGTAATTTTCAGGTTGAGGAAACTTAGGTACTAGCACCCGATCAGACTCTTTGGCCTTAGTATCAGATGTTCCAAAATGTTCTAAAGCTTTCCTAACCTTACGTGCAAAGGAGCTCTCAGACGATGAAGACGATGAAGGGGAAGAGGATGGATCCCGACGGCGTCGGCGTCTGGATCGACCTCGGCTGACCTTTCGGCCTTTCTTCTTGTCTTTCTTGTCCTTTCGACCTCGTTTGTCATCATTGAAGTCGTCGTCATCATCATCATCATCATCGGGAGGTCCGCCACCAGGGAGACCTGGTGGTTTGAAGGGTCCTGCCATGAAGTTCTCGTCGTCAGCATCGGACGAGGGAAAAGGCTTCTTGCCACCTGCATCAAGTTCTTCAATGATCGGTCTTGAAGGCTGAGACGTATGTTGGTTGGGTTTACCTGGTCCAAAATGAATTTCAAGTCCAGGAGTTCCCTCCAGAGGTTGAGACTTCAAACTTCGAATCAACGCTTTCTGTTCCTTCCGAAGCTTCTCAATCTCCACCTCGAAATCTCGTCTCTGAGAATCGGCCGCTCTTTTCATGTCCAGTGAATATTGATTCATGGCATCGATCTGAGTGCGATACTCTGCAAGTTCTGAACGAGCTGCTTGCAAATCGGCATTGGATTTGTCTACAGACGCTGACATAAGACCTGCAGTGTTAACGATTTGACTAAGTTCGGCACTCAATTCCTTCATACGCAGTTGAGCAGATTTCTGCTCGCTCATCGCTTGGGCAGCTTGTTCATTCAACAAAAGGTTCTTCTTGGAAATCTCGTCGGGTGCTCTTTGTTCAATGCTTGCAAGCTGATCTCGAGCTTCGCTCACAAGCGTTTCCCTTTGACGTTCCATAACCTCGGAGTGAAGCGCGTTGGCCTCAGTCTGCAAAGCTTGCTGCTGCGCAGCCATCAGTTGACTTGCCAGGGCCGGGTCGACACCTTGTTGTACCACTGCCACTTGGGCGGTACATGGCGGTACGCTGATCACCAACCTGTTGAAGTTGAGGGTGTTCAACTGGCTGATGTCGATGTTCGAGTCCAAAACACCTGGCATGCTACGGCGTGGGTCATTTCGGCATGGGTCAAAGTCCTCTTCCAAGTAACTCATATCACCTTCTGTCGTAGCTGCGCCTGAGTGGATTACCATTTCCTCCGGCTGCGTTGTACCTGCAATAGCCAGTGCAGCCGTGGCGTTCCCGCCCGGGGCAGGCAACGCAGGGGGAGCTGCCATTGCTGGTACAGGGAGGAGTGCGAGAAAAAGGTGAGACAAAGGAAACCAGCGATCGCTTGGCGATACGGCTGATAACCTGTAGAAACAAGCTAAAAGCCACTACCAGCCACAAAATAGTTACCCTGCACACGCATGTTTCTTGAGCCAATGCAACACGAAGTATAGAGTGAAAAGAGTGATACTAAGACTACTACTGTGCAATAACAAAAGCCACGAAGCAAAAGCCACAAAAGCTATGAAGCCAGACCGGAAAAGAAACAACATCCCAAAAGAAATCACAAATCTAAGACGTGATTCACCACCGGTTCCTTGTGATGTCTGAAAACGTGTGGCATGCCGCGGCGAGGTCTGAGCCTTGGCCCCCTCCTCTGGGAGTTGGAGAGGACAAAGGTACTGACGGTGCTGGCACGGGTGTTCCTGGAAGCTCTGAAGCAAGAGATGTCCCAACTTAGCAAGTTAGCTAACTTGGCCCCTCCTAAAGAGTTATTAGCATTTCATAATCTTCATTTAGGACCCGCCAAATTAAGAGCTTTCAGGAACGGATACCAAACAATACCGCACCTGCCCAGCAGGAGCCACCCCTGCAAAGAGCGCAAAAGGATCGCCGTCCAGAAGAAAGAGCCGGCTATCATCAATGCCAACTCGGCGCATGCCTGTGCCACATTGTGTCATAATGACAAGCTGCCTTACAGCGGACATTCCAAGACATCATCGCAGATTCCTATCCATCCTGACCCAAGCCAAAGTGCTTCCAATTTGGCCTGTGGAATGAACGCAAGCGTGTTCTGAATACTTCTGGTCCTGGAGTTCGTGCCTTGGCTGCATGATGTTGCATGATGATGTTGAAAAAATAATGAAGTCATGTCGCAACGGCATGGGCAAGAGCTTTATGTTTGCAGCCGCTGGTCTCACCGCGCTTCCCAGAAAAACACGGCGCCTGGGACCCACAAGCATCATGGAGCCACATTGGAAAAATCGTTGTGCAAGTTGCACTGGCAGTATCGTCAAAAAATCGTTGCGCACAATGGCCTCGGTTCGCATCATCTCGTTCTGTCCCTCCCTCTCTGACTTTTCCCGTGCGCTGTTCGAATAGGCTCCTGTATTAAGACAAGCAAGACGAAGAAGATTACTAGGAGCAGGGCGGCCATCACTTTGCTTGTTGCCTGACAGTCACAGCACCGCAGGAAACCTCCGAAGGTATCAAGCCAACAAAATGAGCCTAACCCCACAGCATGATAGCCCATGAACATATTCCTGGCTGAGCCTAGCTAAAGCGGAGATCTTGAACTGAACATTCCCTTCCAGTCTTTTGAATGTATTCGACCCGCTTCGGGACGAGTACCGCCCACACCCAGGGGACAGGACAGGGGGCAAAGAAGCGGGCTTAATTGGTCCGCCTAGTTTGCGCCGAACTCGGCCAGTTGGCTTAACATGCGCAACTGGGTCCTGTGTGGATTTTTGGTGGGTCAATCCTGAAAATCCCAACCCCCACAGCTGAAGCTGTACCAGTGAGCAGATCTGGTCGATCGGCTCTATAAACTATCACGCCTCGGCACCTTCGGTGCAAGCGGATTTGCATAGTGTCCTGTTAAAACTAACACCCTAAACCCTAAATCCTGAAAACTTGAAGTCAAAATCACTGCCTATAGCCAGTGTTTTCATTCATCCTCTGGTGATAAGTATATCATATTGTTTGGATGTGTTGGGTGAGTGTGGGCGAACCAGGGGGTTGCAGGGAACTTGTTGTGGTATTTTCTGTGCGCGGCAAAAGCTGTAGAAGTTGTGAGCATCAAATATATTATGTGCATACATACACATGTACGCAAGCATGCGCGCGTGCGTACACAGATATTATTTTCCATTTTTCTAACATCATTCCATTCATTCTTGAACCCAAGAGCCCATGTTCAATCATGCATGTGGAACTTGTACAACTACAACTTTAGCTGCTAGCCTTCCCTGGAAATCACCATACTTTGGAAGGCTCCACAAGGACAATCAGCATACATCAACGCACAGAGCACTCCCCTTACTGTCCTTAAAGCCGGCATTGCAATCATTTGCAATTTGCATGTCACATCATGTCACATGTCACCTGACGGCGGCCATCGACTTCAGGAAGTGAAGCTATCGGAGAGCTGCGGCCGTCCCAGCCGCACAGCTGCCAAGTACCCGCCCTGGACATCTGGAGGCATTGACAGAGGATGTCAATATCCCAAAAAAGCGACCCAAAGAAAAATAAAGTAATACAATGTAATACAGTAGTATGATTCATCATATGATGTAATACGTGCTAATGAACCGCGTTACTGTGTACATCATGTCTTATCATGGTCTTGCAATTGTATCAAGGTCGGGCATAATGTGAGTTGATGTGCTTTCCGTGTCCGCTTGTTGACAAACCTGCGGCATGCTGAGGACCAATCCGGTAGGTGACAAGGAACACTTTTTCACCATGCCAGCCTGAATTCAACCGAGGTGGGCACATGGACACATCTTCTGCCGTCGAGATTGGCCATGTGTCATCATGTGTCGATGAGTTTTATGAAATGGGGTGGCATGGGGTGGCATGGGGTGGCGAATGGTCATGGACACGGTGTAAGACCCTGTCCATGATCCCGAAACGCCGGGAAACTTAATTCCAGCAGCGAGGGGTTGTACAAGGCCCACTTCCTTTTTTTTGGCGGCCGATGCAGTAACTTGCAAGACGTTTCCAGGACCTGGGTGACAACTGCAAGGAAATCACCGAAGCGAAACCTGACAAACACATACAAACACAAACACAACGTGGTCCAAAAACAAAGTACCGCCAATAGCGACCCTGAGGATTTTGAACATGGTTCAAAATGGCAAGTGCTCAAAACCTGCATTTCGGAGCATTTTTATGTGGAAGTCAAGATTTCAAGGCTTTAAATTTGAAAGAATGCCAAGAACCCAACTTTCTCACAAGAGATACCTTATTTGAAATGAAGTTAACATTAGGTAGCGAAGCATCATCTATTTTACCTGAACTCAACTTCAAGTAGCATAACATTTTATTGATATGATATAAACGCCAAGTAGCATCATCTATGTTGCATGAAGTTAATTTCAAGTACCATAACAACTTATTTGAAACTAGATTAACGTCAAGTAGCGTAGCAACATCTATGGTACATGAAGTGTGCTTGATTTAGCTTAGCATTACGTATGTGACAAGAGGTTAGTTTGAAGTAGCATCACATCTTATTCGAACTGAAGTTCACGTTAAGTAGCGTAGCATCTTGTATGTATGCAAGCGCTATTGAACGTTAATGCACCCCCCACCTCACCCGAAACCCCCAACATCAAAAGCAAGTAGCGTAACATGACGTATGTTAGTGCAGGTCAGCGTCAATGTTAGTGCAATCCACTGAGAGTAAAGACATGTGTGCAAGTGCAAGATTTGTAGAAGCAGCGTGCAATGATGTATGCTAGTTCAACTTAACCTGACATAGCAAAGCATAATCTCTGTTCGGAGAAGTCAACATTAAATACCGTAGCATAGATTACATTAGATAAAGTCACCTTTCAGTATCGTGGCATCACATGCACCTTACAGGCAACGTCAGGTGACATTGCATCTTCCATAAATGCAAATGCTCTTAAACGTTATTATTGCAACCCCCAGAAACTAGAAAATTGTGTTTTCCTATGGGGTCGCGAACAGCGCCGCTAGCAAAAAGAACCAAACTCGTATCTGCCTAGCTTGACGAAATCAGCCAAAGGTCTTGCACTGCTTCCCCGTGAACCAAAAGTTCACCGATCTTTTCCTGGGCCACGGGCCCCTACTGCAGCATGGCAGAAAAATGCAGAACATATTCTCTCACTCCCATGTTGGCTTTACGAGCTTTACACTTTACATGCTTTACATGCTTCACTGCTTCACAAAGGTTTCGGGATGTTCCTAGCCCCTTGCTTGTGCGCTCACATTGTATTGTGAGATGTTACCGTGAAGTTTTTTGAGCATTTCAAACGTAGAATTTCCAAATAAACACATGAAAAGAAGACCTATAGGTTTGAGTTCCATGGCCAACTTGTCTATGAGCCTTCGGGCCCTTGATGTCTCATCGGCTGATGCGCCACTTATAAACCGAGGATATTCTTGGATATCATTGGAAATGAGTCGTTTCATCTTGTTTCTCATCCTAGGCCTGCAGCATTGCCATGTGCTGTATGCCGCCGTTCGCCTATCTGGGGACAAAATAAAAACATGCAGAAAGTTTGAAAAGGCACATAGGGTAGCAAGGAATCTGCCTTATCTTTCACTTGCAGACTTCCGTGATGTCAGTGACTTCCAGGTTGGCTCTTCTCTTGAGGCGATTTAAATCAGGCACACATGTACGGCATGCTTCACAACACATGTCTGGCACAGCGCAATGAGCACTGGGGATACTGAGATATACTCAGGCATCACTGAGGCATCACTGAGGCTTGCTCAGACATGGCCATGGCATCTCCAAGCAGCTTCTCCGTGGCATAGTCGAAGGTGCTTGGTTTCAAGGCATCCAAGGCAGCAAGTCCTCCTAACAGCGCTGAGTTATCGGAACTAGCAAGTGGAAGATGATGGAAACACTTTCGTGTCTAATTTGCATCTGCTTCATTCTGCTTCTATGTCCTGATTGTTGACGCAAACTGCCTACATTTGAAAATCTCAGTCTCAAAAAACCAGGAAAGTTGACGCCTGCTTTGGCCCCCGCAAAGCAGAACAGCAGCGACCTGCAGCTTGCACCGAACTATGATTTTGCAATCAGTGTCCGGTATTGCGTCGCATTACCGGCATCTTGCATGAATCTGTAAGTCTCCAGCCAAACTCTTGCCATGGCGGTTTGTCATCCAGCATTGGCCCCGGCTGCGACACTTACTGCATAGCTCGAAAGTACAGAAATTAGCTTTGCTTGCACCTGTTCCACCCGTCTTAATTCATCTTAATTCAAGGTGTAGGGTGAATGAACCGAAAGAAGAAAACAAAGAACCACCATGGAATTACGGAACATCAATCATCCAAAACAGTGCCCCAAAATGCTGTGCAACCTGCACGGGAAAGTTTTCATTGACAAGCAAGTCTACTAAGTATTGTATTCCACCTGTGCTTCAGTATTGCTGATCAATCCCTTCTTGACTGAACTTAGCCGCAGGAAGGGAACCACTCTGACCTTGACAGAATCGACTGACCTTGGAGTGTTGGACACTTGGCAACTTTGCAGCTGGATAGATTCCACTGCTTGGGAACGCAATCATGGCGAACGACTTTCAGACTTTAAGAAGGCGCAAGAAGCAACCTATGCAAATATATGCAAATCCATGCAAGATTCAGAGATGCTCACAGACATACATGCAAGTGATGCGAGGAAAGTCTGGAGAGGTATTCCATATATGAATGCCCTTTACAGCAGACCATTCGTCGGGGTCTTGTGCGTCAGCTGGGCTGAAGAAAGTGAACCAGGCGAAGACGCGGAGACCAAGCTGGCCCTTCGCGCGAAAATGAAGCACTGAGCAAGTTGTACTTGGTGCAGGCTGGCACTCTCACTTGGCGAGAGTTTTGCACCGCTTTCCTGAATTAAATTGAATCGAATTTCTCCTCTGCCAGTCTAATTCTCACCAACTAATCTGACTCGCCCGACTGCTCCAGAATGGAGCTCGCTCCCGAAACCCCTATCATTGATAGATCTATCTCTTCATCCGTGGGCTTCTTTTTCGAGCCCCGGGCTGCCATGGGGAGATTAGCAGCAGGGCCTGTGTGCCTCTTCTTGGCTTTCCGGTCTCTCACAAATTCACGATCCATGTACATTGCCCAAAACACATCCGATTTTCTCGAGGACGTGGATGTTGATAGCCCTGCGCTGGTGACCTCAGGGCAAATCTTGGGCTCCGACAATTTGAATCGTCTATAGGCTATAATACTATAGGATGCTATAGGTGTCTACCACATGCCATCCAAGTAGTCCAAATATGTCCAAATAGTTAGCTTGCGATTTGCTAATTATCCTTGTTTCATGTGGCCTCAATGAAGCGTCCTTCATCGTCCTTCCAAAATGGGCGTGGCAGCAAATCAATTTGCGGTACGTGTCTGGGATCCTTTTGACCCCATCCTCCCAAATGCGAAGCTACATGCAAGGTAGTTTTAGATGGCTGAAGGGTACCGGTATCCTGTCACAAGTTTCCTTAGGATGTTGAAGAGCCGAGCATTTTACCACGGGGACGTCTATGGCTGCTTGCTGTCCAAGTTTCTCGACCGCGGCGCTGATGGTCTGGCACTTCATTCCACTTCCTGACCTCAAAAAATACTGATGCTTCAGAACTCGTTCTGCGGCTGTCATCCGTTGCGGTTGCAATCAATTCCATGTTTGGGGTGCTGAAATGAATGTCAATTGATCAGCTTGAGCAGAAACGTGAGAATGTTACCTGCAGTCCAGGTGCCATGACATCAGCTGAACGCGCAAACCTCTCCATCTTCTTGACGCAGGTTTCCAATTTCACGACGGCAGATTCAAGCAACAAATCCAAATGTGTATCAATGGTCTTGGAATCCCTGACGACCTTCCTGGCCGATGGAATCCGCTGTAAACCGCTGAAAAGAAAGCATGCAGAATATACAGAATAAACATATGAACAATCACGACAGGTCTCATGGCATGCCATTGGAAAATTAGGCCAAGGGTCTCAGTCAGCATTGTTGGTTGCAACGATGGCCGCATTGCCATGACATGTTCCATCTCAGAATGCAAGTCCATGTCGAAGATTCTGCTGTGTTCTGTGTGTTCTGAAGCTTGCGGTGAAACTGCATCATCTTCAAAATCATGGTTTTCTGCCTGCTCTGCCTGTTCCAAGGGAAAAACATCGCTCACTGAAATTTGTTCGGCTTTAGAAACTCTGATGGTTTCCGCGCTTTTGGCTTCGGCTTCAGTGGCTTCAGCTTCGAAAATTGGAGGCTTCAGCTCGGACTGACCGACCTCGCCGTGCTCCATCCCAGATGTCGCAGACATCGCAGACACCCTCATGTTCGACCTGCGGTCCCGCTCAGCCCTATCGGGCGAATGGCTGCCTTTTGGGGTGACAGGCTTCTCAGATTTTGTTCCTTTGGCCATCTTCCTGGAAATGCCCTTCACTTCCACAGACACTTTGTCAATCTGCAAAGCCAAATGCCTAAAACAGTCAGCACACATGTCATAGAGATCCTCTTGCAACTGCATGGTCTGCAGCATGTTGTACTTGATGAAACGGGGCGCTGTCTTGGAGTCATGAGCCCATCTACTCAACGGTCCAATGAATTCAGCCGCTTCTATAGTACCGGACTGGTCAGCCTGCAGAAGTGTCCGGCCCGCGATTTCGAAATCACATGAAAACACATGAAAACATAATACCCCAAAAATGCCGCAGTTGCATGCAGGTGCAGCAAACGGGGTTTGATGATCGGGACAAAATTTACAAGGAAAAACTGTGCTAATTGATACAGATTGGCAAAACCAGAATATAACATAGGATATATATATATAATATGTATACGTATATAATTATATATAACAACCAGGGACATTAACGTGAACATTGCAACTGGGCACGTGTGTGTCTGGAATGCCAAAACGCAATGACAACATGTGACAACCTATATCTAATTTTATTTGCGCGAACCAAACCCACCACTTCGTGCTATGAAAATGTCAATGGCCAATGTCGAGCAACGTCAATCATTTCGAAGAGCATCTGCAAATCGCTTTCGTCGATGTCCATCACTCGCAAACGACTTTGAAAATCCGCGTCTCGCTGCGCACCTGAGGGGTCTGGCTTTGCGCAGCGCCCAAAGTCCCGTGAAGCGCCCGTGCAAAAACTAGGAAAACAAGGCGGTCAAACACGCCAGGACGATTTGCATCAACTTGCCATATTCATTCTCTCATATTCTTTCTGTACCAGTTAAAGGCCGGTAGATCTTAATAAGATCATGATATGATCATAATATGTTGCCTGCCTTCTCCCCACTTTTCCTTCCTATCTCTCCTCTCTCTCCCTTTCTCTTCCTTCCTCCAGGTGCTGGACCTCACCCTACCCGCTTCAGTTCCCTTAGGAACCCTGCCCAGAACTCCGTCAAACAGAACCCGCCCCAATAATTACCCCTAGTCGCTCTCTGGTAACTTTGGTGGGCCTCACATGTCAGTGTCATCACACATCAAAAATAAAAAAAAATGCCCAACACCATTAAATTATGTCAGGTCGTGCCAAATTTTACCCAAAACAAACGGACAAACCTATGTCAGAAACCGTTGGGTAACAACATGTTTGACGATCGTTTTGTGCATACTGAACAGCCTGGAGATTCAAAATCCCTGGGTTCCCGGTGTTTACCTGTTTTTCTCTGAAAACGATGGACTTTGACGTCAAGCACCTGAAACTCCTAAAGCTCCTTGTTTTGGAAAGGCAATTGGATGTCCAGGGTGCTTTTTAATGTCTGAGGGTTGAGTTGAGCAAAGTGAAAGTTGCCACCGAAAACGTTGGAAATTACCCGCAAAAATCCCGCAAATTTCTGCAAAATTCCCGCAAATCCCAAAATGACGGAGAGCTAACATTTTCAGATTCTCAGGGTTTGGGGATGGCCCCACTTGGCAATGTCCCACTGTCAAATGACATGAAATGCCTGAAACTCCTGAAATCACTGGAAAGTGGAAGCCCCTGATTTTTTCCAAAAGAATGAATCTCCAGGAGAAACTTGTCATGTCAAACAATATGTCGAAACATGTCGACGTATGTGTCCATGAACCCAGTTCCAATTTCAAAAAACTGCCAAAAACCGAAAAAATATGTCACGAATAATGAAACATGTTAAACCTACATATCACAATGCGCCCAACCATATCTGTCAAATAGCGCGTCAAAAATCTACATTAACATATCTCCAAAATTATGCCCGGTTGCTATGTCACAATACATGTTCAATTCTGTTTCTTTGGCATGTTGCAACCTGCTTTGCAAATCAGCACGACGGTGGTCGTGTTGATTTTGTGGTCTTGCTGCGTATTCTGGGTGAGTGCCCTTAACCTAAAATCGCCAACCAAGTAAAGCACTCACGACTGACTGGCCAAACGCTGCATTCTTTTCAACTCTGCCCCCCCCCTCCTCCTTCCCCGGTGCCACCACTTAACCCCCGGGGGTGTAACGTGTTCCAATACTCCTCGGGGTTACCCCCAATGCAATATTATATGTTCTAGCCTCCCCCCATATGAGGGAAAAACACGTAAAATGTGTCGAACGCACTTTCCCTGGTAAAAATATTAAATTTCAAAAAGGAAAAAAGTAATATTTCTTAATCCACAAGTGAAAACCTGCAATCCCGGGAAAATTAAAAGCTACCAGTAGTACCGCACAAGGCGATGGCGGAAGTTTCAAAAATAGGAAACCTATAGGAGAGATTGGTTGTTGTAAATCCGGGATGGCAGAGCGAATCCACTGATGGACCGAAAGGTGCTTGAGGTCTCCTCTCTTTCTCTCTCTTTCTCTCTCTTTCTCTCTCTTTCTCTGACTATCTACCTACCTACCTACCTACCTATCTTCTATGTATCTATGTATCTATGTATCTATCTATCTATGTATCTATCTATCTATCTATCTCTCTATCTCTCTCTCTCTGTTTCATCTAAGTACCTATCTATCTATCTCTCTCTCTCTCTCTTTCATCTAATTACCTATCTATCTATCTATCTATCTGTCTGTCTGTCTATCTATCTCTCTCTCTCTCTCTCTCTTTCATCTGTCTATCTGTCCAGCTGTCTACCTGTCTATCTGTCTATCTATCTCTCTCTCTCTCTCTCTCTTTCATCTGTCTATGTGTCCAGCTGTCTACCTGTCTATCTATCTATCTATCTATCTGTCTATCTGTCTACCTGTCTATCTGTGGTGCAGTGTCATTCAGTGTAATGTAGTGTGGTGTAATGTAGTATAGTGTAGTGGAGTGTAGTGGAATGTAGTGTAGTATAGTGTAATGTAGTGTAGTGTCGTGTAATTTCGTGTAGTGGAGTGTACTGTAGTGTAATGTAGTGTAGTGTAATTTAGTGTAGTGGAGTGTCGTGGAGTGTGGTTGCGTAGTTGTAGTTGTAGTGTTGTGGAGTGGAGTGTAGTGTAGTGTAGTGGAGTGTAGTGTAATGTAGTGTAGTGTACTTTAGTGTAGTGGAGTATAGTGGAGTGTAGTTGTGTAGTTGTAGTTGTAGTTGTCGTGTAGTGGAGTATATTGTAGTGTAATGTGGTGAAGTGTATTGGAAGGTAGTGCAGTGTAGTGTAGTGTAATGTAATGTAGTGTAGTTGTGTAGTCGTAGGTGTAGTTGTAGTGTAGTGGAGTGTAGTGTAATGTAGTGAAGTGTAGTGGAAGGTAGTGTAGTGTAGTGTAATGTAGTGTAGTGGAGTGTAGTGTAATGTAATTTTGTGTAGTGTAATTTAGTGTAGTGCAGTGTAGTTGTGTAGTTATAGTTGTAGTGTTGTGGAGTGTAGTGTAGCGTAATGTAGTGTAATGTAGTGGAGTGTAGTGTAGTGTAATGTAGTGTATTGTAGTGAAGCGAAGCGAAGCGACATCTGAACCTCCAAAAGTGGTCCGAACCCCTGGTGTTTTCAACATTTTGACTTCAAAATGTGCTTCGCGCCACAACGGCGTGCACTTCTTCGACATCTGAACCTCCAAAAGTGGCGTGAACATGTAGTGTTTTGTACATTTTGACTTCGAAATGTGCTTCGCGCCACGACGGCGTGCACTTTTTCGACATCTCAACTGCCAACAGTGGTCCGGACCTGGTGTGTTTTGTACATTTTGACTTCGAAATGTGCTTCGCGCCACAATGGCGTGCACTTTTTCGACGTCTCAACTTCCAAAAGTGCTCCGAGACCCAGGTTTTTTGTACCTTTTCACTTCAAAATTTGCTTCGCGCCACAACGGCGTGCAACTTTTCATTTCTCATCTCCCCAGATGTCTCCGCACCCGCCGCTTTAGCCAGCCTACTTTTCGACCCTCCGGAGCCACAAAACATCGAGAAAACACAGTGTTTCGCGATTTTCCAACCTTTTCGCACACCTGCATCTTCTTTCTTCTGATCTTTTCTCTTCTGACTTTTCTCCCCTCTGACTCTGCTCCCGTCTGGCTCTTCGCACCTGTGCTTTTTCATCTGTCCATATTGTCGGAAGTTTAACTTCTAAACTTCCTTCGAATATTTTTAATGATGAAAATTTTTGAATATTTTAATACCAATTTAAAAAATACATTAGATATTTCCCTTTCAATAATTTTATATTTCCAAGATTTTTCGTGAAAAAATTGAAAAAACAAAAAACATGAAATAGTTCCCTTTTAAATATTAAAAAAAATATCAATTCTAAATATGTAAAAAAAGCACATATTTCCCTGTCAAAAGTTTAATATCCTTAATATTTTGAATATCTATATTACAAAAACATTGAAAAATACTTTTCAAAAAAAATATTTCAAACATCTTTAAATTTATCAATCCGCAAGTGAAAACCTGTGATCCCGGGAGAATTAAAATTAATATTCTTAATATTTAGAATACTTAATATTTTGCATATTAATATTAAAAAGATTGAAAACATTAAATATTTCCCTATTTTAAAAATATTTTAAATACAACTTTCAAAAATATTAAAAAAATGAAATATTTCCATGAAAAGATATAGTATTTTTAATGTTTTGAATTTTCTTACTATCAGTGTTAAGAAAAATGAAATATTGAAAATTTCCCTTTCAAAAAAATGGTTTTTATTTTTTTTAAATCATCTATTTACAAGTCCTGGGGTCGCGGGAGAATTTTTTTTCGTATATTTTTAAACATATTGAATATCAAGATTAAAAATTGAAAAATATTTCCCGTGGAAAATTGAATATTTCTATTTTTTCTTTGTAAAAAAATCAAAAAAATCAATATATTAAATATTTTCCTTTTAAAAAATTAATATTCTGAAAATTTTAAGAATTAATATTCAAATTCAAAAAATGGACAAAGTTGGAATATGAGTCAAAGCCCTGAAGAGTTTGATGATGAATCAAAATGGATGAAGCGCCCTGTGTCTGATAAGTGTGAAATTCAAAAGTAAAACAAAGGACATAGACAAACACAAATGCATCAAGACAACCTGAAAGTGTTTGAAATGTAAATCTCAACCAGTTGCAGAGCCTGGGTCAATAGATTTCATTTATAATTTTCATTCTTGTGCAGAAAGAAGCGTTGGTGAGGTGGATGGAGAAAAGGTGTCATTGTTGCCGTGAAGGATATGAATGAATGGGAGGTAGGGAAAGAGACGGACCATGAATCAATAGGTGACTTATTTTCCGTGCCCGTTTTATTCTTGCCAGCTCCCTGGGGATATAGTTGAAACCTATCTCCCTACTGTGGTGAAAGCATTTTTGGGTTGACGGCTGTGATTTTTGATAGAGAGGCGTGTGAAGAAAATTATTGTGTTTCTATGAGGCGCTTCTATTACCCTTGCGCCTGAGCTACACTTATATTCGAAGGAAGTTTAGAAGTCAAACTTCCGACAATATGGAGAGATGAAAAAGCAGTCAGCAGGGAGAAGAGTCAGAAGAGAAAAGATCAGAAGAAAAAAGACGCAGGTGCGCGAAAAGGTAGGAAAGTCGCGAAACACTGTGTTTCTTCGTGGTTTTGTGGCTCCGGAGGGTCGAAAAGTAGGCTGGCTAAAGCGGCGGGTGCGGAGACATCTGGGGAGATGAGAGATGAAAAGTTGCAGGCCGTTGTGGCGCGAAGCCGATTTCGAAGTGAAAAGGTACAAAACACCTCAGCGCCGGACCGCTTTTGGAAGTTGAGATGTTGAAAAAATGCATGGCGTTGTGGCGCGAAGCACATTTGGAAGTAAAATGTGTTAAAAACTAAGGGGTTCGGAGCAGTTTTGGAAGTTGAGATGACGAAAAAGTGCACGGTGTTGTGGCGCGAAGCACATTTGGAAGTCAAAATGTGCAAAACACCTCAGTGTCGGACGGCTTTTGGAAGTTGAGATGTCGAAAAAGTGCACGCCGTTGTGGCGCGAAGCGCATTTGGAAGTCAAAATGTTAAAAGCACTAGGGGTTCGGACCACTTTTGGAAGTTCAGATCTCGAAAAAGTGCACGCCGTTGTGGCGCGAAGCACATTTCGAAGTCAAAAGTGTTAAAAACTGAGGGTCTCGGAGACATTTTGGACGTTCAGACGTCGTTTTGTGTGGCAGGTGGAGTGGATTGTGCATCCACTGAAAAGTGACTCGAAAGATCGCTAAAGCGTCGATGACCAGATAAACGCATGGGTAGCTAGATAGATGGATGGATAGCTGGAAGAAGAGGTAGCCGGACAGATGCATGGATGAATCGATAGAGGGACAGAACGAAGAACATGGTGATGGATAGCTGTGGACATGGATCGATGAAGAGATGGACGGAAAAAAAAACTAACAGAGAGAAGTAAGTGGATGGATGAATGGCTGGATAGACAGAAAGATAGACAGTTTAATAGATAGGTGAATAAACAAATCGATCGATAGATTCATGAATAGACAGGTAGATAGGTAGATGGCAAGAAAGGTAGCTCTGTAGATAGATGGCGAAAGAGAGACACAGAGAGAAAGAGAGAAAGAGAGACAGAAAGGGAGAAACACTCAACCAGCTTTCAATCCATCAGTGGGTTCGCTCTGCCATTTTTGCGTCACACCAACTCACCTCTCCTATAGGTTTTCCATTTTTGAAACTTCCGCCACCGCCTTGTGCGGTACTACTGGTAATATTATACTAAATTTAAAAGGTCCAACAGTTTTCAATGGATCAAACAGCTAAAAAAGAAGCGCAAGAGCAAGATTTTTGAAGGAGAAAGGCTGGAACATGACTTTGTCATTGAGTCATAATTGTGGGAGAGCTGGGCTACTAGAAAAAAGGAAACGCATAGGGGAGACAATGCTACCTGTGATGCTGGCTTGGACGCACGAGAAAATGGGAAGAGTCGGGAAGAGAAGAAATGTGACAAAGTGAAAGAGATGAACAAGGAAATGAACATAAGAGTGACATCAGTGAATGCGCCAAGGAATCTGCATTCAGAGAAGTTGACTGTTTTATCTGTAGACGTAAGGTGAAAAAATGCCTTTGGGCAAGGCATGTCAAGAGCAAGAAACATGTGTTGGGGTTGGGTCGAGAAAGTCGCGAGGGGGCAGGGGTGATCAGGTGAAAGGGTAATACCGCATATCGTTTACTATTGTATGAGGCAAACTGTTTCTTTGCGCGTTTTGCGCGAGTCGTAGCCAAAATTTTGCCGAAAACCGCGCTGCGCCTCATTTTACGTGCTTTTCCCTGCCACAGCCTCCCCCCCCATGTTTAAGCTTGCTTGACATGGGTGGGTATCCAAAAATGTTCCAAGTCAAAGTGCGTATAGCGCAAAGGGATGTTACATTTAGTGACCCCTCCCTTTTTTTCCCCCAGGCATCGTGTCCACACTGATGGGTTCTTCCGGCAAGCAAAGCTCGCACAAAATGACTTTTTGTGAAATGTCCATGCGCATTTCGACTGTGCAAGCTGGCACAAGGTGTGGGTCGCGCTCTTGCCCTGCGGCATTTTACCTGTAAATTCGCGCGCTAAATGGCTCTTGTGAAGTCCAAATGCATTTCGACTGCGAAGGCTCGCGCAAAGTTTGGTCCCTGGTCTTGGTCGGCGGCATTTTACCTGCAAATTCTCGTGCAAAATGGCTCTTGTAACATGGGCAAGTGCATTTCGATTGCGCAGGCTCGCTCTAAGTTTGGTCCCCGGTCTTGGTCGGCGACATTTTACCTGCAAATTCTCGTGCAAAATGGCTCTTGTAACATGTGCAAGTGCATTTTGATTGCGCAGGTTCGCACAAAGTACCGGTCCTCCTCCTCAACATCATCACCCTCAACATCATCACCACCTTCCTCCACCTCAGCATCATCACTCTCAACATCATCACCTTCCTCCCACTTGACCTCATCATCCTCAACATCATCAACCTCCACCTTCCGCAACATGAACATTATCAATTATCATCCTTTACATCCTCAACATCATCGTTATCATCGTCATCGTCATCATCATCATCGTCGTCGTCGTCGTCGTCATCATCGTCATCATCATCACCATCATCACCATCACCATCATCACCATCACCATCACCAACATCATCATCATCATCATCATCCTGCACCTCACCATCCTCAACATCATCATCCTCCACGTCATGGTCCGCAACATTATCATCCTCATCCTCATCCTCATCCTCCTCATCGTCGTCATCATCATCATCATCATTATTGTTATTATTATTATCGTCGTCATCGTCATCGTCGTCATCATCATCATCATTATTGTTATTATTATTATTATTATCGTCGTCATCGTCATCGTCGTCATCATCATCATCATCATCAACAACAACAACATTACCATACATTTTCCCCCTGTTCCCCCACACTGTCTGGGGTCTTTTGGCGGGATAATATTCAAAATACGAGTATTTTCTGGGTGTACGTTGGAATTAGGCTGTTGTACCTTACCTTTTTTGCCTTCCCCGGGCCCCTAGGCTGCTAAGGCGGCAGCGATCTAGAAAGCAAACAAATCTCGAAATGTACGCCCAGTATTTCTAGTTCTTGGCCTTCGCTTAACGCCTTTTTAAAAATCTGCTGGCCCATGATGGGCCTACAATGTCAGCTTTGCAAGCAAGGCTAGATGCAATGTCTTGTCTGGATGCGAGAAGGTCCGACCCGTTTTCACTCACTCCTGCATGCCCTACCTTCAATCAGCTCCTCAAGGGTGAGCTGGCCGCTACCGTCCAGATCTATCCGTTGAAACAGCTTCGCCAAGGACTTCCGATCCTTATGGTTTCGATGGACCCGGGCCAGTGCAATATACACCCAGCATCACCAAGCAAACCAGCGATATTGTTAAGTGCTGCTGGCGCAAGGCTTATATATATATACTTGTTGCATATTCTACGGGCCCTAATCTGAAGGATGATGCGGGGTGCTCACAATCGCGCGGCAACAGGTAAAAACAGCCAGGAACAGAGACGCTGGCATTTCCAAGCATCCTTTTGGATTTCGTCTTCCATCTCTTCAGCCAAGTTCTGCACGTCGTTGAGCCTGGCATCAGCAAAAGTATCTACCTTAGTTGCAGATCTGGGCTGCGTCGTGGTCCAAACGGGACAGCCCCGAATGATGGGGCGTGTGAACAGAATTCATGCCTTGCGGGCTGGCGGTCAAAAATACTGAACCGCAGTAAACCAAGTTATAGCGCCATTCAGCTGAAGGTCCACGACTGCAACGATGAGATTCAGGACACCAAACACGAGGGTCAGCAAAGAACCCATGAATATCACTGCAGTCGCTGGATACTGCTCGATCACAGGCACAGCAATTTCACCCCAACTGTCCCCCGCAATCACAGTCTTGAAAAGCAACAAGTTTGCCTCCATTACCTGTGGGCTGGTCGGCTGACTTCGCTGAACAATATAATATTCGCTGCCAAAAAACACCAAAAACACAGGATGCCCACCTGGGATATTTTGCAAATATTGATTAACTTTATCCGGAAGCACTATTCTAGAGGGGTCTGGGCCCCAAAACATAAGATATAAAATATACATATGTTGCAGCATTTAATTCTACATATGTTTGTTTACATTTGTTGTGGCATTTGTCCTAATTTGTTCTAAAATGTTCTACATATATATGGTCCCGTGTCCCCTGTTCCCACGCCCCCATGGGATGGGGGGGTATGATGCCCCTGTGGTGGTGGTATGTATGTATCTATGTATGTATGTGTAAATCTAAATACATGTTACATGCATTTCTCTATGATAGTGTATGTGTACGTACACGCATATATACATATATGTAAATATTTTTCTAAACATATGAAGAAACCATCCGATATAACGAAGGCACGTATAGCTTATGTACATATCTTACATACATACATACATACATGCATGCATGCCTGCATGCCTGCAGGCATACATACATTACATTACATTACATTACATGAACTTACATTACGTTGCATACATACACACCCACCAGCAAAACCACCACCAGAACCAGACGAGACTGTCCACCCATACATACCACACACGCAGGCATACATACATACACACATTACATTACATACATACATACATTACATACATACATACATACATTCATACATACATACATACATACATTACATACATTACATTACATACATACATACATACATACATACATTACATACATACATACATTACATTACATTACATTACATTACATTAATTACATACATTACAATCGGGGTTCAGATAAGGGGGGGGGAGTTGTGCGGATGGTTTTGGTAGATACAGAGCGGAATGCATAGGGTGCACAACTACAAAATGCAAGTGCATGTACTTTTTTTTCAGCTACAAAATGAAGAACATAACGCTTTCTGGCTCGGAAAATAATTCAAAACCAGTACTACAAAATCCAATGCATCTGAAGTCAAAAAAATAGCTGAACGTCGGAATTTCTAACATGATTTTTCCCAATGACATTTTGTAGTTGGGTCTTTGCCATCCAAAGTTCCGACCAACATAAATTCGGAGAACATTTTGTAGTTTGTCAATGATTCATTAAAGTTGAACGTTTTTTTCATTCTTACCCATCTTGATCATTCCTTATCTGTGTTATCCCTGCACCTCAGCATACATACAACTACAAAATGCAAATGAATGTTTAGCATGAATGCAAATGAGATTTTATGTTGGATGCTTCAACTATTCAACCTGGACAGCTACAACATGCAAATGAGATTTTATGTTGGATGCTTCAACTATTCAACTTGTACAACTACAAAATGCTAATGAAATTTTATGTTGGATGCTTCAACTAACTCAACATATACAACTACAAAATGAAAATGCATGATTTGAAAGGAATCAACTACAAAATGATTCCAAATACAAAATGGGGGGCACAACCCCTCCTGTTTGTACAAAAAAATGCTGGCTGGCAATCTGTACTGTAGCCCAAGTCCTCCCCATTTCGTAGCTGAAATTTGAAGGTGGATACATTACATACATTACATACATTACATTACATACATTACATACATACCATACATACCATACATACCATACATCCCATACATACCATACATACCATACATACCAAACATACCATACATACCATACATACCATACATACCATACATACCATACATACCATACATACATACCATACATACATACATACATACAACCATACTTACATACATACCTACATACATACATACACATACATACATACATACATACATACATTACATACATACATACATGCATGCATACATACATCCATGCATGCATGCATGCATGCATACATACTTACATACATAACATACATAACATACATAACATACATAACATACATACCATACATAACATACAAAACATACATAACATACAAAACATACATAACATACATTACATACATTGCATACATTACATATATTACATACATTACATAACATTACAATACATTACATACATTACATACATTACATACATTACATACATTACATACATTACGTACATTACGTACATTACGTACATTACGTACATTACGTACATTACGTACATTACGTACATTACGTACATTACGTACATTACGCACATTACGCACATTACGCACATTACGCACATTACGCACATTACGTACATTACGTACATTACGTACATTACGTACATTACGTGCATTACGTGCATTACGTGCATTACGTACATTACGTACATTACGTACATTACATACATTACATACGTTACATACATTACATAGATTACATAGATTACATACACCACATACATCACATACATCACATACATCACATACATACATACATTACATACATTACATACATTACATACATTACATACATTACATACATTACATACATTACATACATTACATACATACATACATACATTACATTAAGTTAAATTAAATTACATACATTACATACATTACATACATTACATTACATTACATTACATAACATTACAATACATTACATAACATTACATTACATACATAACATTACATAACATTACATACCAGTACATACCAGTACATGCCAGTACATAATTACAAAACATTACATTACATTACATTACATACATTACATACATTACATACATTGCAAACATTACATACATTACATACATTACATACATTACATACATTACATACATTACATACATTACATGCATTACATTACATTACATTCATTAATTACATTACCTTACATTACATTACGTTACATTACATTACATTACATTTCATTACATTACATTACATTACATACCATACATACCATACACACCATACATACCATACATACCATACATACCATGCATACCATGCATACATACATACATACATACATTACATACCCACCACCACCACCCCACCACCCCCACAGGCCACAGGGGGGGGACCAGAAGAACCAAACGATACTGTCCACCCATACCCATTGGTGGGGGGGGCTGACCAACGCTGCACCATATTTATATCTATACATCTATGATTGCACATGTACTGACGCAAACCGTAAATGCTGGAACAAATGTAAGCATACGCGCAAAAAATGTAAGTGTAGATGTAAGTATATCTGTAAATAAATGCATCAACAAATGCACAAAGTATTATTTATTGAAAAAATCTTATTTAGTGTAATGACCAAAAATAGGATCATATTTTCGCAAAAAAAAGTTTTATGCATGTGTTACGAAAAAACACGGTGCAATAAAAGCACATCTGTCGAGCCTGCACCATATATGTAAAACCACAAATGTCTAGCGAGTAAGGGCAGGCAAATGCAAAGACAAATGATGTGACATATGTTAAGAACTGCACGCGCTCGAGACATGCAAGCACAAATGTTGAGAAATGCCAACACAAACGCTTTCATATGTAAGGTGAAATGTTGAAAAAGTGCAGTGCATGCACGTATGCCTCCGTATGGGGTCTATAGAGAAGGCCTCCAAAGAGCTTTTGGATTAAGCTAACATATTGATTCACTTTGGCAAGCAGATACATATCAAACCATCTTTCCACTCATAAACGATACGCGCGATGGGCTCCCCCCACAATGCAGAAACATAACGTCAACAATGTTGATGATGGCGATGGTGATCAAAATTGTGGTGATGATGATGATGGTATTTTGATGATGGCATCCTGCGCAAAGAAACATGTTGACGCCCATTGCGCTCAAACGTACTGAAATGCATGGACATGCGTCATCAGAATGTCATCAGCCACGGCTTCCAGATGGTGACCGGCGATCTTTTGATACAACCGATTCAGCTCGAGGAAAAAACATGAGTGGCAGACATGCTTCGCACAAAGCGCCAAGAACACCGATGCATTTACACACATCCTTTTGCAGACATGCGCTTTTGATTTACACACAGGCGCTTATACACACAGGTCTCTACACGCACAAACAAAAAACTTGGACACACAAGGCTTTACATTGAAAACACCCTAAAGACAAACTCTTTTACGCGCAAAAACTTTTATGCACAGGTCTTTTCAAAGACAGATGCCCTTACAAACAGGTACTGGGAAAGGTCCGCGCAAACATGCGCAAACGTTTTTTCACCTAGACCCTCTCACACACACAGAGACAGCCACTCGCACACAGTGCTTTTACACAGAAAACGTTTACGCGCTGGAAAAATATCCGCCTTTCTTGTATGCAAATGCTCTTACAAACGGAAACTTGGATGCACCATTTACCTCATGCAGTTTTTGACGATTGACGCGCTTTTCATGTAGCCCGCGAAACACAAATCGCAAATGCGCCTCAGTTTTAGGACCGTTGCATGTTACGCGTGTAAGACGTGGACCGCGCCCGCGCACAACACAAATCGCAACTGCACAGAATTTCTTAATAGTTCTTGATGATGGTGGTGCGTTGTGTGCGAGACCGGTGCGTCGGTGCGTTTTGCAAACATCGAGTTGCACTATGCTGCCGCCGACGTAGTCACCTAGTAGAAAGGCTTGATCTGTTTAGGTGTTAGACGCAGCGCCTACATCCACACACCTGCATAATGCTGCAAAGATCAATACACCTGGAAATTTGCAGTTGCAGATTGTTGTGAATGAGAAGATGCTTCCAAGAAGATTTATACACCTGCAATGTATGCATCTAAAAGAACCTGAAGATCAAAAGGGGTAGATACTTCCTTGGTGGTGATGATGCTGAAGCAGCGACAATGATGATGATGATGATGAGGAGGAGGATGATGATGATCTGCATGTATGTATGTCTGTATGTATACGTACATGCATGTCTGTTTGTCTGCCTGTCTGTCTATGTGTGCAGGCATGCAGGTTGAAAATGTCTATCGGCAGCCGCGCTTTGGAAGAGACCCGTCGCAGGTGCTGTCGGGCAAAA